GCTGCCCCACCTGCTAGCCCTTCCTCACGCATAACAGCGGCATAGACGCAACCACCATCAATGCTCCACCTCCTCAGTAAACCGAATTCGTCCAATTTGAACAGTATGGGCAATCGCCACCACCATTGCTGCAATTTTACCCCTCAAAATGCCAATGTCAGACCCAAATCCAGATACCAAGATGGCGGGGACATTGTGCCCGCACTATCCACAAGCCGATCCTGACCTTTTGCTTAAATTTTCTCTGCATAGGTCGCCGCGGATGGTGCAGCCGTCCTGGCAAGCTTGTGCGTGGTCTGCTGCGCCAACCATAGCTGCAAAGCAGCGCAGGTAGGGGTCTTCGCTCGTCTGTGCTATGCTGATGAATTTTTGGCGTTGATTTGTGCCAATTTAAATGCACAATGATGAGGTGATGAAATCAAATAACCAATGGGTTTTGTTGATTTTTCTTAAATACTCCGTTTTAAAATACTTGCTCTATTTTCTATTTCCGGCCGTTTTTAAATACTTACTTTATTTCCTTATTTGAAAAGCTTTTACAATATTTAATTCATTTCTCTCAACAAGTGGACCCAATATAAATTATATTTAATTTCATATGTCTTTTCTCCAATTCTCTTAACAACTTTTGCTTTTTATAATTTTTTATTCTTTCACCCTACCCCACTACTTTTATATTTTATTATAATCTCCAATTTCTTTTAAAACTCCGCGTTTGGAGAAATGGAGCAAGTATTTAAAAATGGAGGGAGTAGTTAAATTGTGTGGAAAGAGAGCGATCAAAGACAAAAAAATAACGGAGTATGGAAGTGTAACCAACCACAAATTTAAATGTTTCTTAATTCAAGCCAACACAAAGTAAAACTAAAGCGTTGTTAGGTTGAACAAAAAAAATCGACTTTAGAGCTTATTAATGATATACTCTGTATTATACATGTATATCTTGTTTTGAGTTTTGGGTCTAAAGAAATGATAAAAATAAAAATCGCAAAACTGATGACCCGTGCGACGCGCTTTTAGAATTCTATCATCTTTTAAACTTTATCTTTTCCCGATGTTTAAGTATATATTACAATCCGATTTTCTGATTTTGAGGAGACAAATTCGATATCCGTACCATTTCTATTGCTCTTCGTTTTATTTATAACTAGTTTTGTGTTTGGGCGATGCCCGGATTGTCCTAAACTTTTAGCTTAGCTTGAATGTTAAATCCGATTATATAACCCCTTTTGATAATGTAAAGTATTTAGACATATGATACTATATCAATTATTTATATAATGGTATACTTTTTGTAGGTTTATTTGTAAATAAATATCTATGTTATTATCAACTTGAATTTTTTTTTTATTACACTTAAATTATTTCTAATAAACTGAGAGTATTTTTACCAAACTAAAATTATTTTTTCTGATTAAAACTTATTTTTACTGATTTTCTATTTTTTACTAAAATATATTATAAATTGATCTCATTGTAAAGAACTTTTTAAAACGAATTTTATGATAGAAATAGTATTGAGTTATAAGATATTTACTTAAAAGTTATAATTAATTTTGTATATATGAAATATTAGAAGTATATCGATAATAAAACATTATACAACATTTTTATCTTAAAAAAATATATCCAAAATTCGCTTACTTTTTAAAAAAAAACCTAGTTTTGTGCCCTGGTGATGCCCAAATTGTTTATAAAATTTTAGAATAAATTTTTTATCTTGAATATTAAATACAATCTTATAAATCTTTTGATAATGCATGATATTTAGACATACGATAAATATCATACCACTTATTCATATAATAGTGTACTTTTGTAACTTTTTTTTAAAATAGATATATATGTTATTGACTTGAAATTATGTTTATTGAATTGAAATTATGTTTACTGATGAACTTAAAGCATTTTTACCAATTAAAACTTATTTTTACTACTTCTCTATTTTTTATAAATAAATTAAATATATTGGATCTTAATTTGAAGAACTTTTTAAAATGAATTTTATGATGGAAATATAACTAAGTCATAGGATATTTATTAAAAGTTATGATTAATTTTATATATATTAATATTAGAAGTATATTGTTAATAAAACTCTAAACAACATTTTTATCTTAAAAAATCCATCCAAAGTATACTTACTTAGCATTATATGTGTCACAATAATACATATTAGTCTCCTACGTGGCGTGACACTTGCCAAGTGTCGCTGTCTCGTGGCCTGGCTGCGAGACCAGCTTTATTTATTAGTGATATGATATTGTTCAAGTAATTCAAAGTCCAAAACAACATATGAAAGTTCTATCTTTTTTTTACTAAGGCGTGAAAGTAAAATCCCGAGGGTGATATGAGTTTTTCTAACTATTTTAGTTAATTTTTTTGATTTATTATATTTATAATATTGTTCAAGTAATTCAAAGTCCAAAACAACATATGAAAGTTCTATCTTTTTTACTAAGGCGTGGAAGTAAAATCCCGAGGGTAATTTGAGTTTTTCTAATTATTTTATTTAATTCTTTTGATTTATTATTTAATCTTTATTGAAGTAATAACTATTTATTCATGATGTAGCATTTAAAATTGCACATTTGGAGTGAGTATCTAATTCTTTTGGTTTTATTCACTCTAATGATTTTATTGTTTTGATTACTAGCATCATGCTTAGGGATTGAATTTTAATTATTAGTATTACTAGGTAGTACCCGTGTGATGCCCAATATGTTAACTTAGTACATCTATATCAAAAAAAAGAAGCTTGTGTTACATATTTAGATTAGCTATGATTAGAATATATGTTAAAAAAAAACCTACTTGAATATAGAGGTGGCAATTCGGGTCAGCAAGTCGGGTTCGGGTCAGATTTTGGGTTATGCTTAGAAACTATAAAAAATTGTATAAAACTTAATACAGTAGTAATATTTATATATAACATTATATTAGAAGCCAAAAAACAATAAATATCTCTTAACCAAAAAGTAACCAAATAAATAGGTAGGTGATAAAGGTAAATATAAATAAATAAATAAAATATTTAATGTATCTTAACGTATTATTTCAAAACATATTTTACTTAGCCAAACAACAAAAAATAGGTAGGTAATAAAGGTTATAAAAAAAAACTATAAATATCTCTTAACTAAAAAAATAGGTAGGTAGGAAAAAAAAAAGGAGGAAATGGGCGGGATTTGAAAGTCTTTTGAAGGGGGAAAAAAGGAATCGCTTTAGTATAGTTATAGATTTGGAGAAAGTAAGAAACGTTATTTCAGTTAGTAATGACAATATATCCACATAAAACAAAAAACCCAGAAAAATAATTGGCAAGGAATTTTCCTTTGGAAATCAAGACAACTACAACAATATTTATTCATTAATCAAAGTTATAAAAGTGCATAAATCAATATGACCAATGAAAATTTGATGTAAAAAATGTATTTATCGAGAAGTAGCCATTAAACCCAGATGAAAAAGCCCCAATTTAAACAAAGTTTTGGGGGGTTTTGCTTGCGTTGACTTTTCTCTCTAGCTCTCCCATGTCGATTTCCTGCTTCTAGGTTGGTTCTTCATCTAGCTGTGTTTCTCACCATGCCTCGCAAGAAAAAACAATCAACTCCACTTCCGCAAAACTCTAATCAAGCTTCTATAGATGGAATTCTTAATTCTTTGGGGAAATCAGGGATTTCTTCAAAACCTGACTCGATTGCTGAAGAAGATGAGCTTGTCACTCCTCCTCCTCACCTGGTCAAGCCAGCAACTGGTATGATATCCAGAGGTGATTTGAGGAAGTTGGAAAGATTTCATAGAAGCTCTATTGGTCAAATTCCGAGCAATTCCAATGGAACAGTAACTAGGGTTTCTACGGTTACTGTTTCATTGAATTATGAGTTGCCTAAGGCTTCTGATAAACCCGATTCTGGTGAAATTGGTGGCTCTAAAAGGGCTGATAATGCTGAGAAAATTCAAGATTCAATAGCTGAGACACAAACTTACAAAGAGAAATTGAATGCTACGGGAGTGACCCTGTCCTTTGTTGCTCCTCAGATTGTTGATGGGAAGTCTATTGCCAAACTTCAAGCCTCTAAACTCTCAGATGGGAGTAAGAAGTGGGGTAATGCTCTGATCTTTTATGTAGTTGCTTATTCCCCTACCATTACTGCAGTTCATAGGTTCATTGCTGATAATTGGAAAAATATTAGTAAACCAGACATTTTTTTGGCATGATGAGGGCTATTTTATCATCAATTTCAAATTTGTTACTGATAAAAACTCTATATTATGTTCTTGTCCACATATGTATTTTGGTAAGCTTGCTATAATTAAAGCTTGGAATGCCAATTTTGATTTTCACTCTGAGATTTTAAGATCCATCCCTCTTTGGGTGAAATTGCCCAATTTACCTCTGAATTGTTGGAGTGCTGACATCCTGAGTAGAATTGGAAGCACTCTTGGGGTCCCAATTTGCGCAGATGAGTGTACTTCTAGACAGCTCAGAGTATCTTTTGCTAGACTTTTGGTTAACATTGATGTTACAAAACCTTTGCCATCTTCTGTGTGGGTTGAAAACCCAGAAGGTGAGGTAATTGAGCTCAAGGTCCAGTTTGAATGGTACCCCCCTTTTGTAAGGGATGTAATAGAGTTGGACATGATTGTTCTGTCTCTAAATCTCAAGCTAAGCCCCAGCAACAGGGAGATGGGACTACTCAGATCAATCCACATCAAGTTCAGAAGAAAGTTTGGGTTCCAAAGCAGATTGAAAGAGCTCCTAGTGATGAGACAGTTGCTAAAACAGGTGCTAATGAAATCACTCCAGAAGCTCAGGTTCAAAAACCAGGGGAGTGGCAGGTGGTTGCTAAGAAATCTAAGCAGAAAGCTAACAGGCAAATCACCTATCCTGTTATGAACTCTAACTCTTATTAGTTGTTAACTATGAAGGAGAAAGGGGTTATTAATATTGAAGACAAAATTCCTATCGAGGGTGATGGTAATCCCTCTTTAGGATCATGATAGTCCTTTCTTGGAATATAAGGGGTCTTAATGACCCTGGGAAGGTAGCTGTTTTAAAACGGCTGCTTTCTAAGCAAAATTATAATGTTGTTTGTATTCTGGAAACTAAGGTGAAAGAACACATAAGTAAGAGTATTCAAAAGAAGTTTGGGGCCTCTTGGGCTTGGCATTGTAACTATGCTAGCTCTTATAGGGGTAGAATATGGGTGGGGTGGAAGACTGACTATTTGAATCTTGATATTTTAGCTTCTACAGAACAATTTGTTCATTGTTTGCTCTGCTCTAAAGATTTGCAGGTTCAGATTTTAGTCACTTTTGTTTATGGTCTTCACTCTATTCAGAAAAGGAAACAATTGTGGTCTGGTCTTAAAGGATTACCTACTGCTATTATTCCTTGGTTGTGTATAGGTGATTTTAACTCTATTCTGTCTGCTGGGGATAGATTGAATGGGGCTACTGTCTCTGATTATGAAACTAGATATTTCATGCAGTGTATTGATGATCTTGCTCTAGTTGAAATAAAAAGTAAGGGAGCTCCTTATTTTTGGTGTAACAAGGCTCATACTGGTCCAAGGACTTTCACAAGGATTGATAGGGGCTTAGTCAACCAAGAATGGCTTAACCTTTATGGGCATGTTGAAGCTATCTTTCTTCCTCCTTCCCTCACTGATCACAGTCCTATAGCTTTAGATATCCTTCATTTTCAGCCTGGGAAAGGGAGGCCTTTTAGATTTCTTAAATGTCTGGCTGATCATGACAGTTTTTTTAGTACAGTTGCAAATGCTTGGCAAGCTCACAATACTAGCTCTGCAATGTATAGGGTGTGGTACAAGCTGAAACAGGTGAAAACTGCTTTGAAGAATCTGAGCACTCAGAAATTTGGTGATGTTAATGCTAAGGTTGAAACTGCTCACAACAACCTTATCTCTATTCAGCATCAAATGTCTGATGATATGTCCAATACAGAGCTTCATGTTCAGGAATTGGAAGCTATTGAGAATGTTAAAAAATGGTTGGGGATCCAAGAAAGTATCTATAAACAGAAATCTCGAGTTGACTGGTTACAGCTTGGTGATGAGAACAATAAGTTTTTCTTCTCTGTCATGAAGAATAGGCAAAGTAGAAATAGAATTGATGCCTTATATACTGAGCAGGATGTTCTTCTTAGGATCCCTGGTGAAATTGTAGAGGAACTAACAGGCTTTTATAAACAGCTCCTGGGTTCCTAAGCTATTTCCCTTCCTTGTATTGATCTTAGTATAATGAGGAAAGGGAAGCAGTTATCTAGGGAGGCTCAAAGTGCCCTTATTTCCCTTGTTACTATTGATGAAATTGATATGGCCCTTAAAGGGATTGAAGACTTAAAGGCTCCAAGTATTGATGGTTTTAACTCCTGTTTCTTTAAGAAAGCTTGGAGTGTTGTGAAAAATGATGTCTATGAAGGTGTATTAGAATTTTTTCAGCACTGGTGTTCTTTTAAAGCAGTGGAATTGTACTACAGTGACTCTTGTTCCTAAAGTCCAGAATCCTTCATATGTCAAGGAATTCAGACCTATTGCCTGCTGTACTATTTTTTACAAGTTGAAATCTAAAATTCTTACAGCAAGGCTTGCCTTAGTTCTCCATGAGATCATTGACCCTTGTCAAGCTGGGTTTATCCCTGGTAAGCATATTGGTGACAATATTCTGCTTGCTACTGAATTGATTAAAGGGTATAATCATAAGCATATCACCCCTAGATGTATGATGAAGATTGATCTAACAAAGGCTTATGATTCAATTGAATGGGGTTTTCTGGAGTCTGTGATGGTTGAGCTCAGCTTCCCTGGTCAGTTTATTGCTTGGATCTTGGGCTGTGTTTCTTCGGTTTCCTATTCCATCTTGGTTAATGGTATTCCTAATGTACCTTTCTATGCTAAAAAGGGGCTTAGACAAGGAGACCCTATGTCTCCCTTTTTGTTTGCAATTGGAATGGAATACCTATCTAGGTGTTTTTCTGAGTTACATACCAATCCTGATTTTAACTATCATCCCAGATGTGAAAAGTTGGCTCTAACCCATCTCATGTTTGCTGATGATTTGTTGATGTTTTCTAGGGCTGATGCTGTTTCTGTTTCCCTCCTGTTTCAAGCTTTCAATAAATTTTCTGAGGCTTCAGGACTCTCAGCCAATTTAGATAAGAGTGAAGTTTTCTTTGGGGGTCTTCCTATTGATGATCAAGCCAATCTCAGATCCTTAATTGGGGTGGCTCCTGGTTCAATTCCCTTCAGATATTTAGGAGTCCTTCTTTCATCAAAGAAGCTAACTATTGCTCAATGTAAACCTCTGATTGATAAGGTGACTAATAGGATAAATGGTTGGACTTCTAGACTCCTGTCTTATGCTGGTAGGCTTCAGCTTATCAGAAGTGTCCTTTTGGTTTGCAAACTTACTGGGAACAGATCTTTGTGCTTCCTAAGAAGGTATTGAAAGAAATTGAGTCTAGATTTAGGGTCTTTCTTTGGACTGGGAAAGCACCCCTCCAAGAAAGCCCTGGTTTCATGGGCTCAAGTTTGCCTTCCTAAAGTTAGTGGAGGTTGGAGCTTGATTTCTCTTCCTGAGTGGAACCTTGTAGCCATCACTAAGCTTCTTTGGGATTTGTCTCACAAAGCTGACAATTTATGGGTTAAATGGGTGCACACATACTATTTCAAACACAAACCTTGGTGGAGTATGCCTGCTCCAAAAAAATGCTCCTGGGTTCTTAAATTTTTTTTGAAATGCAGGGCTATAATTGATTCTATTGGTAGTTGGAACACTATGGTGCAGGGTAGTAAGTTCAAGATAAAATAGCTCTATCAGGCCATCATTGTTCAGGTTCCTAAGGTGTCTTGGAGAAGGATTATTTTTAACAATTTGGCTTCCCCTAAAAGTCTGTTTATTATATGGCTAGCAGTCAAGAACAGACTTGTTACTAAGGACAGGCTTCAAAAATGGAATATTCCCTGTGACCCTGTCTGTTTCTTGTGTAATCAGAGTCCAGAAACTGTACAACATCTATTTTTTGAATGCGATTATAGCAGGAATGTTTGGCTTCTAGTTTTAAGGATGTTTGGAGTTCAAAGAAACATAAGCAGCTTTGAAAATGAGACTGTATGGATCTCCAAGATCTGTAGGAAGACTAGAGCTAGAAATAGACTGTTGGGAATATGCTATGCTGAAGCTGTCTATCAAATCTGGCTTCAGAGAAATGCTATGATGTTCACAGGATCTTCAAAGCCTGCTGAAGTGGTGTTTAGAGATTTTTTTTTTGTAGCTTGTAGATGTCCTGTCAGTGACAGGCAATTACTCTTGCTATAATTTTGGTGATGTTGTAGGCTGTCTATTTGCCTGTTCCTGTTGGTTTCTTTGTAAGCCTGCCTGGTCTGTCCTTCTCTTGGGGAACCCTTCATAAAAGGTGGCTCCAAGTGGTTGATAGGCTAGGTTTGGTTGGGGGTAGGGTGTGCAGGGAACCCTTCCTAGAAGGTGGCTCTGGTCTCCCTCTCCCTTGTGTTGATGTGTGACTCTTTAAGTCTTGTGGAGTTTTGTAGTTTCTCTGTTTTTTTCAACTTAGCTTTTGTAAGTTGTAATCTTCTTTTTGGTAATAATATTTCTTACTTTCCAAAAAAAAAAAAAAAAAAAAAGCCCCAATTTGAAGATTCCTCATCTAAAAAATTAAAACCCTATATATCGTGCATAATTTACCCAATGTTCACCAAATTAATTAACAATTTCTCACAAACTAAACCTAAAAAATAAACAAATCATATAACAACAATATAAATTATCTACTCGACATAAAGTTGAAACAAATACCTTTTGTTGAAAACTTGAAAGAAGAATCGCGCAATGTCATTAAAAGAGATGGGGATATGGAGAATATAAAATTAAATCACAACCAACTTTACTCGGTAAACGTAAGAATAGGGAAGGCTGTTCTAATTTAAATTTTAAATAAAAAATAAACAAATATAAAAACAAACAAAGGGAAAGAAAAATGATGTCATCACGGTAATTAGGCGGGAAAATATAGCATGAAAAAGCGGCACTTGTGCAATTCGGGAAGGGAGTGATGTCAGTTGGTTTTTGTTTTAGTATTAGTTATAGATGATTAGGTGTTTTGTTAATCATGATATTCTTTTTAATTTTTTTTAACAACGGTCTAAAACGGAGGCTAGCTCCTAAGAGTCCCAACTAACTCAAGGACTACAAGTAAGACAAGGAGAGGGTTTAGCTCTCTTAGCTATGCTAATACAAGACATAAACCGAGGATTGGGGATACAATATTTATGGCCTACTCAACAATACAATTAACGGGGGGTGACCACATTATCATCATCGATGATTTGGGTATTTTTACCCAAGCCACGTGGTCCAGTAAGAACGTGACACGTGTCACCCTAGGAAGTGTCCAAGCATGGCCAACCAAGACATGACACATGGCATGCAGATAATGAATGAAACTGACCAAGCGCATTAAAATGGCGCAGCCCACCAAATCTAGGTATAAGTGACCTATGCAAGGGCACTATTCTCAATGCCCTATAAATAGGGACATTTACCCCATTTTGGGGTACGTTAATTTATTACATCATTTACTATTCTCTTACAACAGAGAAATCACCTGATCTCGGGATCCGAGAATATTCACTTTACTTTCCGCATTTTACTCAACTTAGACATTTACTAATTTGATCGTCGGAGGCGGAACTCTGAATACCCGGAGCTTCCGTTTACTTGCAGGTACAAGCAAAGGGGAACCAGTCTTGGTGAAATAACTTTCCCGCAGGACATCTCACAAAAAACACGGAAACATTTAGCGCCGTCTGTAGGGAGAGTACCTCTAAGATGGTTTCTAAAGAACCCGTACAGTCAGCTGAGGACAAACGTCCGTCAGAAGAGGTCCATTCGGACCATGATACTGTGTCGGATCCAGAAGGTCAAAGTACATACGACCGAAGATGGATCCCTCATCCCTAAACGCATCCGCTAAAAAGAGAAAAATGAGCGGGGCGAAAATTAGGCGGGTTTGAGCAAGCCTTAGGCTGAAGGGCAGATTGCTGACATCACCTGCGTAGAGTTTGTGAAGTTCATGACGAACTTCAAAGATGAGATGAAATATCTCATCAAGAGTCAAGCGGCTGGTCCAAGAAAAGGGCAGTCAGCCAAGAAACCTTCTCACCCTAGGAAGACAAAGCCGGTCAAGGACGGTAGCCCACTCCACATCCCAAGCAAAAGGAGGGGGACCGACCCTTGATTGACTAGAATTTTTTTTTTCTCCCAGAGCCGATGAAGAGGAAGCCCATCCGGCAAGTACAGCCGGATGAAAGTTAGAAAACTTTCACTGATGCTCGGCAGATCATCGAGCTACCTGACACGACATCCACGTCAACAATGCCATACAGCTTCAAGAATACCTCACTGAGGTATTCCCAATCTGCACAAGAGCACCAATCAGCCGGCCAGTCTGTCCACACAGACCCTCATGTGGTAGGCTCAGCGCCGTATGTGCCCCATCAATCATATGGGCCGTTTGCCCAACCATATTAGCAACCTGCCCTCTTCGGAGGTCAGGCGACATATTTGGTCCAGCCCCTAGACTGGCAGGTTCGTCTGCTCAACTTGGAGAACAACCCTCTACGTTCTCCAAGGAAATAACCTAGGTGGCACAGCCGGCCAAGGTTAAGAATGTCTTGGTTGGTGCCTATGATGGCACCACCAACCCAGAAGACCACATGATGGCCTATACCAACCTCATGTATTTATAAGGGTTGGATGATTCCACCTAGTGTAGGTGCTTCACAGCTACACTGAAGGGCGTTGCCCAACAGTGGTTCAACAACTTGTCGTCTAGGTGCATCAACAATTTCAGGACGCTTGCGTTCCTGTTTGCCTCTAACTTCTCAATGAACATACCGGCCAAGAAGACTAGCATCGACTTGGGTACGGTTGTTCAGGGAGACCGTGAAGGGCTCCGTTCTTACATCAAGCGGTTCAATCTGGTGATAATCCCGATCCAAGGACTGCCTGACGAAGTTGATTTCACAGACTTCTTCAAAGGTTTGAAGGACGGGTCCCAATTCAAGTTTGACCTCATCCAGAATAGAATCTTCACTCTTCTAGAGGCTTTGAGGGATGTAGAGGCCTATATAAAGGTGACAGAACTCTACTCCTTAAGTAAACAGTCGGACTCAAAGAGGTATGACAAATA